AAAAGTGTGTTGCTGACTCTACCATGGAAGCTTAATATGTTGCAGCTTGTGAAGCCACAAAGGAAGCTACATGGCTACGGAAGTTCTTAACTGATCTGGAAGTTGTTCCATATATGGATAAGCCAATTAAGCTTTACTGTGACAACAGTGGAGCGGTGGCTAATTTAAAAAAACCTAAAAGCCATAAGAATGCGAAACATATAGAAAGGAAATGTCACCTGATTAGAGACATTGTGGATAGAGGCGATGTAGCGGTTCTGCAGATCGCGTCAGAGAACAATCTTGTTAACCCCTTCATGAAGACATTGCCACTGAATGAATTTAATCGGCACTTAGAAGGATTTGGGATTAGAGACATGACACACCTGTTTTAGGACAAGTGGGAGAGTGTTGGGAATGGTGTCCTAGAAGCATGAGATGTGATATGATATTTATTATTTATTTAATAAAAGAGTTTATTCATCATTTTATGTACATATATTTATGAATATTTTATGAATATGAAATGAAAATTTTGTGATTATTTATGTAAACTTAAACATTGTATATAAGTCTTATATGCGAGAGGATAATGTTTAAGGATAATAATCCAAAAGTGATGTTCGTAATAAATCTAATTAAAGTTCAGAATCTTTAATTAGAACATTACTAATACATGTCATTCCCATTTAGAATGGAACGGTGTTATCCGCACTGTTAATATGGTGTGATATTGAATGAGTGTATTACGCATAATAAGATTATCTGGAACAAGGACACAGACACAATATAAATTTCTAATAATTTCTGTTAAGTATAGAAATTCTAATTGAGTCTACTGATGGTCATATATAGAATGATCTTAATCCCGAGTTCTTAACAAACTCCTATTTATGGATTTGTGTCTTTTAATTTACTCGGTACGAATTCTGAGACCCTGAATCATATTCCTTGTATTTTGGAGACATGATAAAGTAGGTAGCCGGGAATGTTATTATACGAGATGGAATCCATTCCTTCTTTAGAAAGAAACAGATAATTAATTCTCTTGAATGTTGATTTAGTACTTGGATTATTAAGATATAATTAATTCTCGGGTTCATGAATGTATTTTATGAATCACTATCCATTAGAGAATCAAAGGTACTCAAGGATGAAGATATAATTAGAGAGGTTAACGGATTCTACCTAGCTCTAATTATGAATTATTTAGGGAGGATTGATCTATATGCAGTGACTATATCAAATGGACACTTCACAGTTGTATAAGACCAGATATCTGCTACGCAGTGGGAGTAGTCAATCGCTACAAGTCTAACCCAGGATTCGACCATTGGGTTGCAGTAAAGTGTATTCTCAAGTATCTTAGGAGAACGAGAAACTATATGTTGGTATATTCCGTAGAAGATCTATCTCTCACCGGATACACAGATTCTGATTTCTAATTGGATAAAGATAGTCGACGGTTGACATCTGAATCTGTGTTCACTCTTAATGGAGGAGCCGTGGTATGGAGAAGTGTAAAGTAAAAGTGTGTTGCTGACTCTACCATGGAAGCTGAATATGTTGCAGCTTGTGAAGCCGCAAAGGAAGCTACATGGCTCAGGAAGTTCTTAACTGATCTGGAAGTTGTTCCATATATGGATAAGCCAATTAAGCTTTACTGTGACAACAGTGGGGCGGTGGCTAATTCAAAAGAACCTAAAAGCCATAAGAGTGCGAAACATATAGAGAGGAAATATCACCCGTTCACGAAGACATTGCCATTGAATGTGTTTGATCGGCATTTAGATGGATTTGGGATTAGAGACATGACACACCTGCTTTAGGACAAAATTTGATGGATTAATGATCAATACCTCTTTTAAAGCATTCAAGTATTTGTAACATCTAGGTCTAATGTAATAGGATATTTATTATTTATTTAATAAAAGAGTTTATTCATCATTTTATGTGCATATATTTATGAATATTTTATGAATATCAAATAAAAATTCCGTGATTATTTATGTAACCTTAAACATGGTATACAAGTGTTGTACACAAGAGGATAATGTTTAAGGATAATAATCCAAAAGTGATGTTCGTAATAACTTAAACATTGTATATAAGTCTTATATGCGAGAGGATAATGTTTAAGGATAATAATCAAAAAGAGATGTTCTTAATAAATCTAATTAAAGTTTGGAATCTTTAATTAGAACATTCCTAATACATGTCATTCCCACTGGAACAAGGACACAGACACAATATAAATTTCTAATAATTTCTGTTAAGTATAGAAATTCTAATTGAGTCTACTGATGGTCATATAAAGAATGATCTTAATCCCGAGTTCTTAACAAACTCCTATTTATGGATTTGTATGGATTTTTGTCTTTTGATTTACTCGGTACGGATTTCGAGACCCTGAATACTATTCCTTGTATTTTGGAGACATGCTAACAAACTCCTATTTATGGATTTGTGTCTTTTAATTTACTCGGTACGAATTCTGAGACCCTGAATCATATTCCTTGTATTTTGGAGACATGATAAAGTAGGTAGCCGGGAATGTTATTATACGAGATGGAATCCATTCCTTCTTGAGAAAAAAGAAGATAAATAATTCTCTTGAGTGTTGATTCGGTACTTGGATTAGTAAGAGCGTTCTGGTTCATGAATGTGTTTTATGAATCACTATCCATTAGAGAATCAATGGTACTCAAGGATGAAGATATAATTAGAGAGGTTAACGGATTCTACCTGACTCTAATTATGAATTATTTATGGAGGATTGATCTATATGCAATGACTAGGGGCGGCCTTGGTATGGCCCCGTGGTGGCCCCGGGCGGCCCCGGTACGGCCCTGTGGCGGCCCCAGGGTGGCCCCGTTACGAACCCGTGGTGGCCCCGGGGTGTCCCCGGTACGGTCTGGTTCATGAATGTGTTTTATGAATCACCATCCATTAGAAAATCAATGGTACTCAATGATGAAAATATAATTAGAGAGGTTAACGGATTCTACCTAGCTCTAATTATGAATTATTTAGGGAGGATTGATCTATATGCAGTGACTATATCAAATGGACACTTCACAGTTTAGAAGTAATTTACGTCTATAATTTTGAGAGTGCAATTCCAAGTTTATAGTGGAGTAACTATTGAAATTAATATAATTAATTAATTAATTAAAGTGTTTAATTAATTATTAATTTCATTGGAGCTCGGGATTATAGATCCATTAGTCCCCGCGTCGTCCTAGTAATTCTGCCAGACACAAAGGGCAAAATGGGAATTTTAGAATTACAGAATTCTAAAATTAAACACTCAAAAATAATTAATTGAGAATTAATTATTATTTAAATAATGTGATTATTTCAATTTGAATTTGAACACATCTAGATTTATCAATTTAAACTTATTTGATAAGTTGATCAATTTATAATTCAAATTAATTTAAGTGTGACTTAAATTGGAATTTGAATTTGAGTCAAAATTAGACTGCAGGATAAAGGATGATTTTCTCTTCCTTCCCTATCTGTTTTTGGCGCCACACAGGGATAAAATCCTCTACACTTGGCCGGCCATAATGGATAAAATAGAAGAGGATATTTTGTTCTAAATTCAAATAGAAGATAATTAACGAGCTTCCTTCTAGAAGTTTGACTTCTACTCTATAAATAAGATAATGATAGAAAATTGTGGACACAATTTTTTAAAACAATTTTTGACCTTTTTTTTAAAGGGTGGCTGCAATTCTCTTATTGTGAGAAGGAAAAAATTTTCTCCAAAAAAATTTTACATCGTGCATGCGTTAATATTTATGAAAATTTAAATATTTATTTTAATTCGTTTTGTCTCAGATGTGTCTACACACGTCTTCTTGAATTTTAAAAATCGGAGTGAAAGATATTGTGGATTCCAGGTTTAACCCGTTTAACCAATTATGAATTCATATAACAAATTCGAAACCCACAAATTACCGTGTAAAAACCCTGACAAACTCTTACACATGATTAGTTCAAAAAGATTACTCAGACAGGACAAAAATATGACTAGTTGAAGAAATAATCAACATTTGTTTAGCATTTTTCTTAATTTACTAATTAAAAAATCCGCAGTTATCATATTTGCAAAGAATCATACATAACCATGTTGGCAATCGATTGGACCGAATAAGTGCGAGTTAAAATAAGTGGCATTGCTTACTCACGTACACCACCAAAAGAAAAGGAAAAGAGAAAACAAACAAATACATGATACAGAATAATTAGTTACAAAAATATAATAAGATTAAAGGGGTTAGAGAAAAGAAAGATTCTTACTTAAGACACATAATTTAATTAGTTACAAAAATATAATAAGATCAACGGGGTTAGAGAAAAGAAATATTCTTGCTTGGACACATAATGACAGAAAAGAATATTTTTTTATTGCACTTTCACAGTTTCACTCACTGAAACTTTTATTTCAAAGTGGGCACAGAAGAAAACTTGCATGACAACTTTGCCCCATCCATCTTTGGATTACACACAGCTTAAAAATCCCACCACCACAAACCACCTAAAAACTTGATAGGAATAATACTGCTACCATATATTTATGTACTTAACAATATATTTGGAACTAGAGTAACTCTACTTCTCTATTTCCAGGACTCAGAGCCAAAGAAGAAAGAAAAATAAGAATAAAAAATACATTGAAAAAGTAAAACGAAAAAAAAAAAAAAGAAAATGACAACCAAGGTCATTGCTACTCTCCATTCAAGTAAGCTCCCTTTCCTTTTCATGTCTTTTTACATCCTTTGCCATTTCCAGGACTCTGCAGAATGATATAAAACTTGATCAAGTTAGCATTAAACTACATGAATTTCAATAGTAAATGACAACATTTTTCATTATTGTCCCACAATGTTTTTCCTTCCAAATAAGATATGCAAGAGGAGCACGAGAAAAAGATTGCTAACCTTAGCCTGTTTTCATGAACCAGTCAGCCAGAGGATTTTAAGAGCATTTTTCAATGGCAAGTGGAGAATCGCCTATCCTGTCCGAAGGCTCCGAGCATCCAACATGCTACCTCTAGCAAGTTTCCTGCAATTTTCCAAATTCTAACTTAACATGCAATAGAGTAAGAGAGAAAATAAACTATTCAACTACCATGTTCATACAAGGAATAAAATAGGAAATCAACTGCAGCAAACCACGTTCTTGTTAAGAATTAACCGCCCTAAGTCTACATTACCAAATTAAGTGTGAGATCTCCAAACTACCCTTATCGAAATAATTATTCCATGGGATAAAAATTTGGGGAAGAGCTATGACGACAAGGTCCATCCGTGAGGTCCTTTTCGTAAGGCAATAATCGTCATGACATAATTAGGCTCCACAACTTAACACTTATGATGGGTTTGCGAACTACTCTTTTAGGGTTTATTTTGAATATCTGAGAACCCAATAGAGAAAAGACTTTACAAACAGTCAAAATGTATGATGCAGATTTCAGCACAAAGTAAAGAATATCATTATGGCTAAAACTCACGAGGAATTCAGAAAGAACCGATAAGGACAAGATAAATTAGGAAATAGATTTCAACAATATTATTATTACGTTAATTTTGTTGGGACGATAAAGCGCAATAAGTCATTACTAGCAATTGCTATCTACAGAAAAGATATACCACAAGACAAAACTTAGTTATCACTTTATCACTATAAAGCTAGTTTTCTTGCCGTCCCATCCTCTTAGTAAATTTAGCCAAGTAATTTTTTCTAACCCACTGCCCTCCTTTATCCAATCAAAAACATTTTTTTCTTTTTCCCTCTAGTTTCTTTCTTTTTAAAAAAAAAAAAAAAAAATTCGTATTGTGTTTAATAAACTAAATCCACCGCAGTTTCTCATGTTTACTTGGTCCTATGTTACCGTGACGCCAAACTTTCAAATCAGATAAGAAACTACAATAAAATACACGACATGCATTTTGTTGATTTGTAGACCATTTTTTCTAGTAGTGCATTAATATTTGTCCCATATATGCCGTATGGCCAAGACTTCCAAATGTCAAATGCATACCTAGACAAATGTTGAAGCAATATGCATAACTAAATGAGAAATTTAAAAAAAAAAAAAAATTTAAAAGATACAAACTACCGTGAACCTCATGATACTCAAACTCAATCTCAGACAACACTATGGAACACGTTTACTTCAGATGAAAAGGAGAGAACACAAAAAGGAGAGTGATTTCCTTTCTCATGTAATTATGTGTTTACTTGCAAAATCAGTAACGAGAGTTTAGTTAGCCCCACAAATATAGAGAGAATGAGGAAAGGGAATGCTGATGATTATAAATTATGTAAAAGAGGACGTTTAATAATCACATGAAGAAGATTACAATTCCTAACTTTAGGAAATACAATATAGGGAATTTGATGATTAATGGATTGCTTTCCACACCATATAATAGAAACATAAACACTAAATAGGAAATAAATGATCCTCATTCTTATTCGTTTACTTTCCGTTTCAATCCTATTACATTTCTTTAAGGTTTGGTAACCGCACCCTAAATTCTTAAGAAACTCGACGTTTTGAACCATCCTAATACAAAGTAGAGAAAGAAAAGTCAGCTTAGACTTTGTAATCATCATATACCATCAAATCTCCATTAATTAAGCACATTGTAAGTTATAACACCGACTAATATTACCAAAACTACAAAAGAACCTTAAAACACACAAACAGAAACCAAGAATAGGACTTTCCACGTCTATGCCACTATTTAGAGAGGCACTATTCTAATTTGCCCTCGAGGTAAATTCCGTGAACATGAAAAATTCTGAAACATATTTCAACAATTGCCTCCATTTTACTCATCTTAGAAACTTCAAGAGAGAAAAATAAAAAATAAAAAATAAAAAAAAGTTATCAGAATAGTCAGTGTCTGACCAACCCCACATGGGTTTAACTAAACTATTGTCCTTGTATTCAATATACCAAAGCTTTCATTCCATATGGTGATGGAAACCAAAAAATATTTCACTCTCATATACCAAACACCCCTATTGAAGGGACTAACTTTTTCCACTTTTGATTCCCTAAACTTATACCATAGAACACACTCACTTTACTTGAAAGCTAATCTCAATCATAATAATAAAAAATAATAATAATAATAAAAATAAAAAAATCCCAAAAACAATCCATTTTCACCATTTTTTCTTTTCTTACACTTGCTTTTAGCCAGTAGTTAGTCCATATTCCAAGCAATAATTGAGTAACTTTCACTACACAAAGCTAAAAATCCAAAATTAAAAAAAGTTGGAAAAAAAAAAAGAAAAAAAAAGTACCTCTCTTGGGCACGGCTGCAACTTTGGCGGGTTGAACCTTTTTGGTAACGGCCTTGACCTCCTCCGGTGGGAACAGGACCCCGTCGATCCCCTGGACCGAAATGCGGCCATCGGTGTAAATATCCGGGTCGAACAAATAGGCCGAGGAGTCCTCCCCATGGCCGAACCGGACCGAGCCATCGGCCTCCTGCGCCACCACCTTGTGCGGCAACCGGAGCGTGTCGTAGCCGATTTTCCCGAACCGGCGAACAGCATTGTACATGCTCTCCTCCGTCTGGTACTCCGGTATGAGGTGGTAGTACATTATCTGCTCCGGCGCCCCCGGCTCGCTGAGCTGGTCCGTCGTGAGCTTCGCCATAGCCTCGTCGTTCGGCGCCAGCACCGTCAGCACGTATCCCTCCGACACGAGCCGCCCCATCTCCGACGCCAGCGACGTCAAATTCACCAGAATGTCCGCCATCTCGTTGTACCCTCCGTACTGCAGCAGCGTCTGGATGAAGTCCTTCACCTGCCTCTCCCCATCAAAATGGTGGTGGGGCCCGCCCGGTCCGGGGGCCGGCGCAGGAGCCAGAGATGGCCCCGGCGCCAACGCCTCGTAAATCGAAACAGCCGGAGGAGAACCCGGCTTTGCTTTCGATACCAAATCCACCCCTTTCTTTTTCGCCCTCCTCAGGTCCACCTCCGGCGCACCCTCCGGCTTCACAGCCGTGATCGACTGAAGACTCCGGCGCTTATTGAAATCATCCACAACCGATCTCGGAACCAACATCCTCTCGATTCCATGGATGACTCCGTCGGGTCGGGTAACAGAATCCGGATGGGTAACCCGAGCAGAATCAACCGTCCAATCGCCGGAATCCCCCCTCTCGAGGCGGATTTCGTCGTTAGAGAGGGTTTTGAGGCGGGTCGACCCGGATTGAAGCTTCCATTGTTGGGATCCGATCTTGTTCGGGATCACGTGGAAAAGGATGATGTTTTGGAGAGAGACGAGGTTGCGGGGCTCGAGGAGGAAGCGCTTGAAGTCGGGGTCGAGGGCGCGGTCGAGAGCTTCGTTGCGGGGGGCGAAAATGGTGAGGTTGTGGGACCCGACGAGGTCCTCGAGGGTCTGGAGGAGAAGAGCCTTCTCGAGGAGCTCGGCGAGTTCGGTGTAATGCGAGTCCAGGAGAGCCACCAGGACGGAGTTGGAGTTGATCTGGCCGCCGCCGGAGGTGGAGGAGGAGGAAGAGGGTGGCAATGCGAGGGATGTGGTGGTGGCGGCGGCGAAGAAGAGGAGGAGGAGGAGGAAGAAGAAGTCACGGAGATGGAAACCCATGGCTTCCGGGGAGGGGAGGAAAGAGAATGCGGCGGATTCAGACAGTTTAGAGAGAGAAAGTAAAGAGTAAAGCTGTGTAATGAGGCCGTCTGACTCTCTGTGGACGTGTGAGAGTGTGGGAAGACAGAGGAGAGAGAGAGAGAGAGCAAAGCATAGATTATGTGGTTTCGTTTTCGTTCTTTGCTTTTCAGTTTTGCCCTTTTACCCTCTTTCTTATTTTTTATTTTTTTTAAGATTTTTTTAAAAATAAATTACTGGTAGATTTTAATTTTTATCATCAGTATTGTATTAAAAACTGTTTATACGGAATATTTTATTTATTTTAATATGATTTTGATCTAACGTAACGATTAAAAATATGAACTATCAATGGTACCGTGACAGGACCTATTTTCTTTTTTTTTTTTTTGAGAATTTTATATAATAACCTATGTAATTTAAAATGTAAAGTGCATTAAATTTAAATTATGTTAGTTGTGCATCTAATATGATGCAAATATGTGAGCTGATTGTATTACAATTAGCATTGTATCTAGAGTCTAGACACAAGTCTCGTTCATTTCGCCGATTTGAGTTTTCAATTTTAAGTTTTTACAGTAAAAAGTTCTCAGAAAATATCACATTAATTTTTTCTGCTACAGTGAAAAGCTCTCAAAAAATATCACGTCTCAATTCGAATTAAAAACTCGAATCCACGAAGTAAACTAGTAATAAAAATATCCAATATGGTGGGTTATTCCTTTGTACTTTATTTCATAATTTTTTTGTACTATTTTTTCCTCTTTTGTTTTGCTTAACATTGATTCATTATTGAAGGCCCCAAATACAACTGTTTTTGAGGCTGGTAGGTGTGGTTTTCTTGAAGAATTTTGTTGTAAGAGTTAAAAAATAATGCAAAAAAAAAAAAAAACCCTGTTAAGTAGTGAATTTTTTTATTCTCAAATTGTTATCATTTTTTTTTCTTAGCATGTCTCCAATTGTAACATTGAGCAATGTGGTTCTACCCAAAAAAAAAAAAAAAAAAAAAAAAAAGAAGAAGAGAGAGAGAGAAATGTGGATTAGTTTAGCTGTCATTTTTGCTGTGTCTTTTGGGTGATCAGATTAATTGCCGGAGAAAATTAACTTTGATAAGTTGAGTCGTTGGTAATCAAAAGTGTCGGTAGGGTCAAAATGTCAAATTGGACACGTGGCCGACAGGGGATCAATAAAGGAGAACGAAATGAATGAGATCGGCAGCATAGGAGTGGGTCCAGATAGTTTCCACTAGCCGGACAGCTTGGCTTCAAGTCAAAGGCTTCTTTAGCTTTGCTACTTTCTTTTTTTACATTTTTTTTTTTTAACTTTCTTTCACTGTCTTTAGCCTTTTTCACCGTTTAATCTTTTATTTTTTTTTTTTGGAATTTAATAAGATCTTGTTCACTTTACGAATTTAAATTTTTAATTTGAGTTGAGATGTGATATTTTTTAGAGCTTTTTACTGTAGCATAAAAAGTTATATATGATATTTTTTGAGAGCTTTTTACTGTAAAAATCTAAAATTAAAAATTCAAATCGGTGAAATGAACGAGACTTAAATTTCTCTCCTTTTTTTTAAACAAGTTGTTCTTTTTTTTTTTGTCTGCTTAAACGTGCACAAATTCTTTTTTCTTTCGCTGGAAAGAGTACAAAATTCTTTAATTTTATTACAAAAAGAAATCAAAGTAATTTGTCCCAAAAATTAATTGCTTTTCTTTTGGCTTTCAACAATTGATTGCCATTAATTTTATGAGAAAAATGTGCGTGATCAATTAAAGTCCATTTTACATTTTCAAAAAAAATAAAATACAAGACTACTGCTATCATACCTATACAAATATCACTCATTTATTTGTCTCACCAAAGAATAAAATTAAGTAGATTTATTTTTAAGCTTGATAACAATTTTTGTTTCGAAGTAAGAAGTAAGATCTGAAATTGTAAATATTAGGGAAAAGTATAAAAGATTAATTATGTTTCTCCTTTTCTTTTCTTTGAGGCTTTAGCATTTTCAAATCTAATATATATGGAGGCCTTTTCACCAAAAAACAGCTGCAAAACCCTAATTAAATTTATTTGTTTTTGATAATTGATCAAATTCTCTAGGGGTCGTTATTAATATATATTATTTTTTAATTGAATATTATATTCTTTGAGACATGCGGCTAGTATTCTTTAATTAAATATAGCAAGAGAACTACTTATGCAGGATTTGTTGAGTAGGAAAATCGGTAGAAGCTTCACAAGATGCTCTCTTTTGTCTCTAAACAATTAATTCATGGGGTACCACGGTATTGCTTATAGATATTAGTTAGTACCAAGATAGAAGTTGATAATCAACCAGTTCAGTAATAATTACGAATTAAATTGAAGCTCGAAAGAGTAATTTTATACATCCCGACGAGATAATAGTCTCATTAGAAGACGTTTGGTTGAAAGATTCAAACCATGTGATTCGAACTATTTTTTATTTACGTGAATTTTTTGTTTGAGAAAATACTGTAACGAACCATAAATTATGATTCAAATCAGAAAACGAATCCCTCTACCAAACATCCTCATCACTTATAAGTTTCACATTCCTCTGAGTGATGAGGCTATTGTCACTCGAGCATTATACAACAACATATTTTCATAGGGAGATTTTTTTTTTCTCTTTCATAAGCTTTATTTTGTTTTTGTATTTTGTTTAATTGTTTTTTTTTTTTTAAGGATATCTATCAATGTGGCACTAAGTCACTAAAAGAACCAATATCCCCAGTTACCATATGATAGCAAATGGGTCCTTCTTGGTTGGATTCCAAATATAGCCGACAGTTCAGCACGTGTTTTGTAGTCAGGATCTAACTTTTCATTTTCTGATTTTTTTTTTTTTTAAAGGAAAGACGAGTATGTAGAGGCAACCAAACAACACCGACAGCAACAAACGGACCCAAGAGGAGATTGCAATGCCTACCAACATCATGGATGTTAGTCTTCCTAGTCCTCCAGGCCAAGCAAGGTGTCTAGGTCATGACAAATTACAGGCGTTAAATTATGGAATCTAATTATATTGTTCTTATGTAAAGACAGCCCGTTCAGTTCGCTGATTCGAGTTTTTAATTCGAGTTAAGATGTAACTTTATGTGAGAGCTTTTTACTGTAGCAAAAAAGTTAGATGTGACTGTTTCTGAGAACTTTTTACTGTAGCAAAACTCGAATTCTAAACTCGAATCGGTGAAATGAACAAGGCCGACATATATCGACCTTTTACTTATTAGAGAGGTTAAATGAAACACAACAAAACGATGAGAGATGCAGAGGGGTGAGATTTCTCTTGCATTACTCTTCTTCATCACGGTGAATTTCTATAGTAGATAAAATTGAACGTAACACTTAAATTGATTATGTACCACTCTAAGACCCCGTTTATTTCACCGATTCGAGTTTTACTATAGTAAAAGGCTCTCAGAAATAGTCACATCTAATTTTTTTTACTATAATAAAAGGCTCTCATATAAAGTCACATCTCAACTTGAATTAAAAACTCAAATCAACGAACTAAATGAATTTTGTATTTTTTTTCTTTTTATTCTCTTTCACAATATTGATCTTAATAGTATAAAATCATAGTGTCTAATTCTCAATAACATATATGATCAATAGTGAATGTAATCTCAATAAGTACGCAGATGTCCCACTATGACAAACAAGCAGCAATTAAACAAAATTGTTGAAAGCGTCTTTCAGTATAAATTAGATGAACATGGGGCATGTTTGTTTGACAGCACCATATTGTATAATTATATAATAATATAATATTTGGTGTGACCATCGTATTGTATAACCTAATACGGTTTGTAAATTAATACGGTCTATGTCATATTATTGAATACAACTCATTTTTGGAGTATTGTATTATTTTATAGTAGATCAATTATTCATGTCGAGATTGGGTATGACTTGAGGTCGGGGTCGGGTTGACATTAGTGCTGGAACTTTAGGCAGTGGGCCTGCCCGAAGCCTGAATTTTTTCGGGCTCGGCGGGCAGGCCCCATTGTCTGCCCATCCAGCTAGGAAAGTCGGGCTCGGGCTCGGGCAACCAAAAAATTTGAAGTTGGACAAAGCCCGCTGCCCGTTCAACCTCCATGCCCGAAGCCCGCCTTAAAGCCCGACCAAGAGCCCACCCAACGGCTCTTTTTTTTACCGTTGCCCAAATTGCCCGACCCGCTGAGGTAAAAATAGCCGTTGGATTCAAAAATTCACACAAAAAATTGATTTTTTTACCCCAAAATTTTCTCTATAAATACCCTCCTTCCCCCAAACATTTCCTTCACAAAATTTCTCACATTCTCTCTCAATCTCTCTTAATCTATCTCACTTTTATCTGAAATCTCTCTCACAATTTTTTGAATTGATTTGTGTTAATAGTGTGTGTTGATTTTAATCTTAGTTATAGTTTTTATATAATTTTTACAATAAATAACTTAATAATTATTTATATACAAATACAATTAATAAACAATATTATATATAATATTATAAAATATTAAAAAAATTTGGGCAGCTTGGGCGGGCTCGGGCTGCCCAACCGGGCTTCGGGCAGCTAAGACCTATCCGAAACCCGTTCAAGAGGTCCTTCAGGTTTGGGCGAGCTTGGGCAATGGGCACAAGTTCAGTTTTTTCAGGCAGTCGCTGGCGGTCCGTCCAAAGTTACAGCACTAGTTGACATTAAGTCATGCCGAAGGCTATATTTGTTGAAAAATTTAGGGGACACAATGCAAATTTTATATTCATTAAAAATTATATTTTGACCCTAAAACTTTTGAAAATTTATATTTTGACCCCATACTTTTTTAAAATTACATTTTGACCCCAAAATTATTTAAAGTGTACATTTTAACCCCTTTTACAATACGTCATAATACCAAACACTGTATTGTATTATGATAATACAACACAATATAAATACAATACAATGCACCTTATACAACACAATACAAATGACCAAACATGCCCATGGTGTATAAGCCTAGATAAACGTGCATATGAATCGTTTTTCATTAAGCCAAACTAAAATCCTAATTTACAGTAAGTAAACAACATGTCATCATTTGTTTGGTACATGGAAACAGACAGCTCCTATCTCTTAATGATGGATGACTTAAATATTGTT